GGGACTATTCCAGATTGTTGATGTTAGATGCCACCAAGTCAGCCCCCGACGCATGGAGATCCCACGCACAAAGAAATGAAATGTTACCAGGTCCTGCACCATCCTCATGTCAGTTGTGGATTGGACTTGTTGTGATACCTAGGGTTTTCATTGGCTGAGTTTTGGCAGTTGATCGCCAGGCCTTTCTTCCTATTCCAGATTAAAGAAGACTAAAGAGACATGACAACTAAATAAACTATGTGTTCTTGGACTGGATCTTTGACCAGGAAAAGCAAATAGCTAAAAAACACATTACTGGGACAATTGGTGAAATTGTAATATGGCCAAGATAGTAACATTGAATAAATGTCAAATTTGTTGATTTTGACACATATACTGAGGTTATGTAAAAGAATGTCATCATTCTGAGGAAATACACACTGAAGTATTTAGGAATAAAGGGGCATGATGTCTGCAAATTACTCTTAGTTCAGAGAGAGAGAGAGACAAAGTGAATAATAAAGCAAATGTGGCAAAATGTTAACTGATGAATCTGGTAAAGTGTATATGGGAATTCTTTGTAATATTCTTACAATTTTTCTTTAAGAGTAGAATTAAATTTAAAAAAAGTTAAACACAGTATATTATGCTGAGTGAAATCAGTCAGTCGCAAAAGGACAAACATTGTATTAGACCACTATTATAAGAACTCAAGAAAAGGTTTAAACACAGAAGAAAACATTCTTTGATGGTTACGAGGGTGGGAGGGAGGGAGAGGGCTATTCACTAACTAGATAGTAGACAAGAATTATCTTAGGTGAAGGGAAGGACAACACACACTACAGGGGAAGTCAGCACAACTGGACTAAACCAAAAGCTAAGAAGTTTCCTGAATACAACCAAACACTTCGAGGGACAGAGTAGCAGAGACGGCGCTCTGGGGACCATGGTTTCAGGGGACATCTAGGTCAACTGGCATAAGAAAGTTTATTAAGAAAATGTTCTGCATCCCACTTTGGTGAGTGGCATCTGGGGTCTTAAAAGCTAGCTAGCGGCCATCTAAGATACATCAATTGGTCCCATCCCACCTGAAGTAAAGGAGAATGAAGAACACCAAAAACACAAGAAAAATAATAGCCAAGAGACAGAAAGGGCCACATAAACCAGACACTCCATCAGCCTGAGACCAGAAGAACTAGATAATGCCTGGCTACCACCAATTACCGCCCTGACAGGGAACACAACAGAGAGTCCCTGACGGAACAGGAGAAAAGTAGGATGCAGAACTCAAATTCTAGTAAAAAGACCAGACTTAATTGTCTGAGTGAGTGGTGGAACCCCGGAAGACATGGCCCCCGGACTCTCTGTTAGCCCAGAACTGAAACCATTCCCGAAGCCAACTCTTCAGACAAAGATTAGACATAAGATGTTACTCATCAAGAGTGTGCTTCTTAGTTCAAATAGATACATGAGACTAAATGGGCAGCTCCTGTCCGGAGGCGAGATGAGAAGGCAGAAACAGACAGGAGCTGGTTGAATGGACACAGGAAATCTGGGATGGAAAGGAGGAGTGTACTGTCACATTATAGAGAGAGCAACTAGGGTCACATAACAATGTGTGTATAAATTTTTGTATGAGAAACTAACTTGAGCTGTAGACTTTCACTTAAAGCACAATTAAAAAAAAAAGAAAAGAAAAAACCCACAAGTATAAAAAAATCAACATTAATTACATAATTGTATATTTTAATCACACTTTTCCTCTGTATTTAATGAAAGAAAAAATTATATATTGCCAAAATTTATTGGGATGAACAGCTGGTGTATAATTTTACTTTTTGTTTCAAGAAGCTAGAAAAACATTAAACATTTTAAAGTAGGAGATAAGATATAATTTAACTCTAATTGTAATACTAATGTCACATGATTTTTTAAGAGGCCCAGATGTTTCGAAATTAAAACAAACAAGCAAATAACTCATGAGTCAAAGAAGAAAATTAGAAAATAATAAGAACTGAATGATGATAAATACTACACATAAAAACTTCTGAAGCGGTACATAGAGGAAAATGTCTTAAATTCTTATTTTAGAAAAGAAGATCAAAAATTAATGAGCTAAAGAACCAACTCAGTAAGTCTGTAAAAGAGCAAACAGAAAAAGTAGAAGGAAAAATAAAGATAAAAACTAAAATTATTAAAATAAAAAACAAAATATTCAATGGAGAGACTTAACAAAACCAAAAGCAGGAATATATGTAACATATGGTGGGTGAGTGTATTTGCGTGTGTGCATACACGCATATAATCACCAGGAATGAATAAGGCTTATCCCTGGAATACATCAGAAAGTTGATCATTGAAATTTACCACACTGTCACATTGGCATTTTAATGGAGGAAAAAAGCATACAATGATGGCAATAAATACAAAGCATTTGGGAAAAAAACTCCATACCCATTCAAAATAAAAACTATCAGCAAACTAGGACTAGAAAGAAACTTTCTTAAGTTGGAAAAGAATATCTACTAAAAATGATGAAACTTCTAGAGTTCCCTTGTAAATTCAGGAGCAAGAGAAGGAAATCATCTACCACTGGTACTATTTCTTTATACTGAAGATCCTAGCTAGCATAGTAAATAAGGTAAACAAAACAAAACAAACAAACAAAACCCAGCTACATGTATTCAAAAGGAAGAATCTGCCATTATTCACAGGTATAATTAATAACTAGATATTCCAAGGGCATCTGTAAATTATTAGAACAAATAGAGTTCAGAAGGCTGCAGAATATAAAATCAACATACAAAATTATCAATCATGTTCCCGTACATGAAAAACAATTAGAAAATGTAATTAAAAGATACACTTCATAGTGACACCAGAAGCTATAATTAGGAGTGAATTTAACAAAACTTCTTGCAGATTATATATTAATATACTATTATATTGTATATAATATATATAATATATAGTATATATTATATATACACTATTGTATATTAATATATATTAATATTATATATTAATAAATAAGGTTTCATATAATGTAGAAAATGGTTTCAAATTTTATCATTTGGTGCTAGTTTTTTTTTTTTTTTGGCTAATTTTTTTTTAATGTGTCATCACTGTTCAACTCTTATTCTCCCTCCTTCTTTTAATAAGTTTTTGGTAAAGAGATTACCTTAACAATCACAACTTCCAGGTGCAGGATATCAGTAAAAGCAGGGTGGCATTGTCAATAGTCCTCATTGTCTTCACTGAGTGAACTATTTTGCAAATGCACCAAGGAAATGAAATCATACTGCAATCCCTCAAAGACTGAAAAATGGTAAAATGAAGTGAAATCATTTCTTCTGTTACTGTCCATCTCTTTCCTCTCACCCCTGAAGTCCTTCAGCTCCACACTACCCCCATTTCAATGATATATTCCTATAAAACAGTTGTGTACATAGCATTAGCGGGAGTGTATGGCATAGAAGTCAAGTATAGACTCTAGTTCAAAGCCCAGCTCGGCCAGTTATACAACTTCCCTTGGCCTTAGTTTCTTTGTTTCTTCCCTTGGCTAACACAAATCTGCCCAGTAGAATTGTTGTAATGATTAAATAAATAAATGCATGTAAAGTGTAAAGCCCTCTAGAACAGTGTCTGGCACACAGAAAGTGTTTAGCAAATATTGGTAATTATTACAATTTTCCATGATTTGATTCAGTGGAGGAAATTATGTAGCTCCTACACTTCTTGCCCTACACGATGATCTCCCTTTTCTTTTATCCGAACATTGCTATCCCTACACACACACACACACACACACACACACAGGCATACACACTCCGCCTCCCTCCCTCCCCTTTGGACAGAAGGAGAGATGAAGGGAGGAAGGCTGTATGGAATGACCGGGAGATGCAAGTTAAATCCTACAACAGATGCTTTCAAGTGAAGTAAAGTTCATTCTTTTGTAAGCATTACCCCTAAGCCTCAAGTCCACAATCTCCTTGGTTGCCACTGTTACTCTATTTATTCAAATATCTGTTTCACTCCTACTATGTACTCTGACACACATGAGATCACCATGATTCAGAACTGACTTGACAGCAACTGGTTTTGGTTATGTACGGGCATCATGATTTGGTTATGTATCCCCTAAATATCCCAGCACAATGCCTAGCCTTTTGCGAGGGTTCCATAAAGATTTATTGCATGAAGAAAGAGATGTCCTTTCTCCTTTGGATTGCAAGGATCTGTGAGACATGGGTCAAATTTGGTTTTATTTTTTGTATCCTATAAAGCTCAAATAAATAGAAGATTGGATCTCTGATAGTAAAAACTGAACTTCTAAATGAGAATGTTCACTCATTGTTAAGAATGTAAACAATGTTACTGAACAACTTGTGTAGAAATTGTTGAATGGGAACCTAAACTGTTGTGTAAACCTTCACTGAAAACACAATAAAATATTATTTAAAAAAACAAAACAAAACTGAACTCCTAAAATACAAATATCACTTGCTTGAAAATCTTCAAATGTTGTCACTCTTTATGGAATAATCTGTATACTTTTTAGTATGACATTCAAGGCCTTGCAACACTCTACCTTCACCTCCTAGTCCTTCTTCATAAATTCAGCGTTATAGCCATGCTGTACCCAGAATAGACCTGTCTGGGCCTTTGTTCTAGAAACCCCAGGCCTGGAAAGCCTTCCCTCCCCTTCCACATGGCAAATGTCACTCACCCTTTAAGGCCCACCCAAAGATCCCCCTTCACCTTTGATGGTTCATGATTACTACCAGGCAGTGACTTGGTCCATCCTCCATGCCTCCTGAATACCTTGAACAAGCAAACATTATGGCACTTGGGTTTGGTGCACCATGTTGTAACTTTTTTTTACTTATTACACTCTCCTCACTTTACACAGAGAAAGATTTGCATATGCTTGAAGGCTCACCTTAACAATCCTCTCCCTTAGCACAGTGTTGGGCACAGGCATTTGGCCTTCAGTACATTGTTACTGATCTTGAACAGGTGTTTTTTTAATGGAAAATTTTCAAACATACGCCAAAGGGGAGAGAACACTATGTATGAATTACCAGCTTTAACAATTACAAACTCATGACCATTTTGTGTATACCGACACCCCAGACCCATTGAAGCAAATCAAAAAATCACTTCATTCCTAAATACTTCAGAATGTATTTCTATGAAATAGTCTATTTCTTAACAAATATATCCATAGTACAATTATCGTATTTAAAATACTAAAAATAACTCCTTAATATCATTAAATATCCATCTTTTCATCCAAGCATATTTTGTGAAAGCTGTGTAGTGCCTGCATGCTCTTTCTCCTGTTTTGAAATCGTGGAGAGAACAGGAAAAGGGGAAGAAGAACTGGGAAAATATATAATTAAGTTTCAGAGAGCCTGGATGTCCCAGATGAGAAAGAAAGAATCTGACCTGGTTTGAGGTAGGAGAAATATATTCTACTTCTCCGGAGGAGGAGGGTGCAACTTCAGGCCGGGTGACGCCGGAGGTGGTGCGGAGGGTAGAGGGGTGTTACCCCCGTTGAGGGTTCCTTCAGGATAATCCCACCGCGGAGCGAGGAGGCAGCGCTTTTTTGGAGGCTTGGCTTCCCTCGTTTTTCCAGGTGGGAGCGTGGATCTCCCAGAGGCACAAGGTTGGTCCCCCATAAGGATTATAAGACCTGAGGGGAGCTCTCTCTGGTGGGCCTTGATGAGGCCCAGAGACTTGAGATGGCGGCGGGTCCCCTCCAGGCACAGAGCTGGCTTCCTCCTGGTTTCGCTCTTACCGTATTTCCTGTATCCTGAGACGTATATCCCCTCTCCGCCCCCGCCCCTGCGCCCCACCCCACCCCACCCCATTTTAAAGTTTCTACAAGATCTTTAAAAACTATGTGTATATTTGATATAATGTTTCTCCATTGCCCCCCCCCCCAAGTGTAACTAAATCTATGGAGAGTTTTATACAATCGATGCAATTTTAAGATTGGAAGAAATTCAGGTTTACTCCTAAGTTGTAACTTTTGCGTAGCTTGTGAATAAGTGTGTGAGAGGGGCAGGGTGAAGGTGGAGGTGAAGGTGGGAGAACCAAAGAAATTATTGAAAAGCCAAGGGGTTTACAGTCCGGTTGCAGATTAACATCACAGAACCGTGAAAACTAACTACGACCATTTAAAAAGCAATACACAAACAGGTCAGTTGACTAGAGTGCAGAATAACACATCAGCACTGACAATGAAAATTGAATGTGGAAAATAAATTCACCAAATATCACAGACACGAAGATCATCTTTTTCTTCATATTTTAACAAACTCGAAGTTTCTGAAATCTTAAAACTGTTTCTTTACATTTCAACATCTAGGAAATCTCGGAAACCTGACAATTGATGTTATGTCATACGTTAATGGCCAACGGCTTGTTTTCTTAGTGATACATGAAATAATCCCCTTTTACTATCGCTGGTGTATTATATTCTATACTATACGGTAAGTAACTGGTAACCTTAGAGGGTGTGAAGTGGTTTAGAAGAAAAGGCTTCTGGAACAAACTCAACTAAACATTGGAACTTGACGTTTTTCCAGCACTGTCCTCTGTGTGTTTTAATGGAGAGAGTTCAATCTTTAATGTTAAAATAGAAATGGTTTTTAATACGCTCTGCTATTTACAAGCTCTGTGATTTTGAAATAGTTAATTATACTCATTGTGATTTTGGGGGGATAATAATTTCCTCCTTGCAAAACGTTCTCAGAGATAATTCATTTAAAGCACCTATTACCATGACTTGGGGGCAATGGTTGTTCATTGGTAGAGTTCTTGACTTCCCTGTGGGACACCTGGGTTTCATTCCTGGCCAATGCATCTCATATGAAGCCTGTCAGTGAAGGCTTGTGTGTTGCTGTGACTCTGAAAAGGTTTCAGTGGAGCTTCCAGACTAAGTCAGACTAGGAAGAAAGGCCTGGCAATCTATTTCAAAAAATCATCCAACAAAAACCCTATGTTTCACAACGGTCTAGTCCTCAACCACTCATGGGGATGGTGCAGGATCTGACCAGGCAGTATTCATTCCATTGTGCATGAGGTTGTCATGAGTAGGGAAGGAGGGTGACCCAATGGTAACTAACAACATTATCATGACTGCCTCTTACACCCACCATCACTACCTTCCTCCAAGTACCCAGTACAGCCCTTTACACAAATTAGGTGTTCAGTAAATGTCTGATAAAGAAATGACCCTGTGGTTTTGTAGCAGATACTACTAATAAAGATAAGAAATTCAGGTGTAGGAATAGGTTGATTGAAATAATATTAATGAAAATTAATGAAACAATTGAGGGGATATCAAGAGAAACAATGCTTTAGAGCTCAAAGAGCAGTTGGAACTAGACACTGATGTGGAAATCAGCAACACAGAATTAATAGTTGAGGTCATGGGGATGGATGGCATCCTCAAGATAAAATTTAGAGAAAAGAGAATTGGGCTGAAGTCAGAATTATGAATAATTAGGAAGAGATAGAGGAAGAGAGACCTGCTGCAAAGGGTGGGAATGAGTGGCCAAGTCAGAGGAGATGACTCTAACCTAGGGTTTCTCACCCTGCACTATCGACATTTGGGGTCAGATCATTTTTTTTGTGGTGGGGGGCTGTCTTCTGCATTATAGAATATTTAGCAGTATTCCAAGCCAGCGCTCTACTAACTATACTCCAGTTGCAAACTTCTTCACCCCCCACCTCCCCCACCGCCAGTTTTACAACCAAAAAGATCTCTAAAACCAAAAACCAAACCCATTGACTTCGAGTTGATTCTAACTCATATAATGATCCTATAGACATTGCCAAATGTCCCCTAGGGGACAAAATCATTCCAGGTTGAGAACCACTGGTCTATCCATAATCTTCAAAATTTGCTCTTCTCCTAGCCCTCCACCCAGTTGTACAAGTCAAACTTTGGAGTCAGTCTTTTTTTTTAACGAAGAATTTTTATTATTTCTCAAAGTAAATAAAGGGAACTTTTTATACCCTTTTACACAGGTCTCTATATCTGAGAGACTAAAGACTTTAAGAGTAAAGATTGAAATTAAGTTATTTTATAGCTATGGAAAAAAACAAAAAACAAAAAACAAACCCATTGCTGTGGAGTTGATTCTGACTCATAGCAAACCCTATAGGACAGAGTAGAACTGTCCCATAGGGTTTCCAAGGAGCTCCTGGAGGATTTGAACTGCTGACCTTTTCGTTAGCTGCCAAACTCTTAACCACTACGTCACCAGGGGTTTGATTTATGACAAATACTTGATTTGAGGTGAAAATGGTGCCGACTTAAAGAGCTGTTGCCATCAACCTAAAGTATTTATACTGCAAGTGGATTTTTGTTTGCTTTTACATACTAGAAAAGAAATTTAAACCCTTTTCTGCCAGGTTTAACAGTGGCATTTTCCCATCATCTTCTCCACATTAAGCTTTTTATCAACGTCAATGAACCAGCTGAATGTGAATCATGGAACCCAGAAGAGGGCGCTGTTAGACTGAAGGACTGTTGAGTCAGTTTTGAAACTTACTACAGATCCCAGTGTGCTTAATTAAAGGATGACACCTGAGAACAAAATTAAATCCACCTTTAGGTGACAGTGACCTGTTTTCATTTAGATTTTTCTTTTAGTTGAGAAGTAGGGTGATTCATTTCTTTTGGAAATTAACTTCTTATTTCTAGGCCAAGAATTTTTCTCTTTCTCAAATCATATTTGCATAAAAAAAAAAAAAACCCGTTGCCATCAACTCGATTCAGACTCATACTAACCCTATAGGATAGAGTAGAACTGTCCCATAGGGTTTCCAAGGAGCAGCTGGTGAATTTGAACTGCTGACCTTTTGGTTAGCAGCAGAACGCTTAACCACTGTGCCACCAGGGCTTCATATTTGTATATACAAATATAAAAGACAGCTCTGTTGTTTTTAAATCCAAATCTAGAGATAAAAAAAGTCTGGAGTTCCTGAAAAAGTCTCATAAAATGAAAAGTAAGAATGATTTGGAGGTAGACTATTCATATGATTTTTTAAAAAATTTTATTTATTTTATTTTTATTGTTGTTGAGAACATACACAACAAAAACTCACCAATTCAACAATTTCTGCATGTACAGTTCAGTGATATTGATTACATTCTTTGAGTTGTGCAACCATTCTCACTCTTCTTTTCTGAGTTGTTCCTCCCACATTAACACAAACTACCCCTAAGGTTTCTGTCAAATCTTTCGAGTTACTGTTGTCAATTTGATCCCATACAGATCTTAAAAGAGCATACTACTGAAGGCAGACATTTTTTACTAGTTAAGTTAAACTATTGCTTTGTTTTAAGAAGACTTCAGGGTATATTTTTGGTTTAAGATTTAAAGATTGTCTCGGCAATAGTTTCAAGGGATCACCCAACCTCCATGACTCCAGAAAGTCTAGAGTCCATTAGAATTTGAAATTCTGTTCTGCATTTTCCCCCTTTTGATCAGGATTATGCTATAGAATCTTTGATCAAAATGTTCAGTACTGGTAGCCAGGCACCATCCAGTTCTTCTGGTCTCGTGGCGAAGGAAGCAATTGTTAACGGAGGCAATTAGACACACATTCCTTTTCCTCCTATTCCTGACTCTCCCTCTTCCTCTGTTGCTTCAGGGGAATAGAAACCAACTGTTGTGCCTTAGATGGCCGTTTGCAAGCTTTTAAGATCCCAAGCACTACGAAACACACTAGGAGGAAGAACAGAAACACTAAACAGATATTAGGCCAATTAACAGGGATGTCTCATGAAACCATGACCCTAAATCTCCAAACCAAGGAACCAAATCCCATGAGGGGCTTTGTTGCACATAAGCAGCCTCAGCAGCTACATTTTATTTTTGGTCATTCTTGTAACTATGTCTATCACACAACTTTGGTTAATTCAAGATTTTACATGTGTACAACTTATTGACAGCAACTACAATAATCAGCTGTGAAATCCTACCCTTAACCAATGTGATTTTTCAATCACTGTAAACTGAAACTCATGGAACCAGAAGAGGGCAATCTTAGATTTCATAACATTGCAAATATCCCAATAAGCAATAATTCCCCATTTCCCACCCCGCCTCCCACCCCTGGTAACCACTAATAAACTTTGGTCTCTATACATTTGCTTTTACTTGTCTTTTTTATATAAGTAAGGTCATACAATATTTGTCCTTTTGTGATTGACTTATTTCACTCAGCGTAACGTCTTCATGCTCCATTCATATTGTAGCATGTATCAAGACTTCATTTCTCCTACTGGCTGAGTAGTAGTAGTCCATGGTACATAAGTACCATATCTTGTTTATCCATTCATCCCTTGATGGGCATTTAGGTTGTTTCCACCTTTTGGCTATTGTGAATAGTGTGCTGTGATGAACACTGATGAGTCTCTGCTTTCAACTCTTTTTGGGTATATGCCTAGGAATGGAATTGCTGGGTCAAATGGTAGTTCTATTCTTAGTTTTTTGAGGAACTGTCACACTGTTTTCCACAATAGCTGTATCATTTTGCATTCCCACCAGCAATGGATAAGGGTTTCAATTTCCCCACATCTTTGCCAACATTAGTTATTTTCTGTTTTTTTGTTTTGTTTTGATTTTTAACTTAGCCTAGTGGGAGTGAAGTGGTATCTCATTGTGGTTTTGATTTGTATCTCTCTGATGGCTAATGAC